TCCTCCATTACAGCAAATAAACTACTTTGATTCCATGTGTCATTATTACTAAAGGAGGCAGAGGAATAACATTAGACACACGAGCACCGATCAGCTGTGAGCACCAGGAGAACAGATGTAAACAGATGTTGTCTTTTTACTGCTGGTGATGTCATTCTCACACTCTTCACATTCATCAGTCCTCAAATCTTAAACTGACACGGTCTCATCAGTCAGTGCTTTGTCCATGAAGCTGAAGCCTGGGACACTGAACTAGGCCTGGTCTGGTCCGGTCCTGGTCTGGTCCTGGTCTGGTCTGGTCTGGTCCTGGTCTGGTCCTGGTCCGGTCCTGGTCCGGTCTGGTCCGGACAGATTGATGAGCAGCAGTTTACGGCCTCAGCTCAGACGTCTCTCTGAAGCCTCTTCACAGCTGCATTTCAACAGTTAATGCAGAAATCCCCGGGGTGGTAATTACTGAGCAGATAACAAGAATTGTTTTCATACTTGGATAATAACTATTAAAAAGAGTGTTTTCCAATTTATTAAACACACTGTCTTTAAGTAACCTCTGGACACTTGGCCCACGGGCTGAGCTAATTTATGAGCTGCTGGGGGAAAACAAACGAGCTTTTCTTTCATGTGAAAATCTTCACAAAAGAGTCGGTGCCGTGGAGAATACGGAGCGAGCTGCGCCGCACATTTCCCTGAATATTCAACTTTGTACATGCAAATTGTTAACATAACTTTTTGATATGATAAAACCTCAGCGCAGTGTCATTTCATGGGCAGGCCTACCGGGGGTCTCGGCCGGGCGATGATGAAAGAGTCATCCGAGCTTTTCCGAGCCATTACTTCCTCCTGCAGGAGGCTGCTGTGTTTAATATGGGCCTCTCCAGCAGAGGAGAGCGAGGGGTGCGTTCACCTCCGCCGCCGTGCAGCGCTTTAATGAAAGATGCTTAAAAAAGCGTGAAAATGCCACCGACTAATCTGCTCAACCCATCTGCAGAGGAGCAGCTCAGATAGAGAGGCTCGCTCCATTTCACCCCCCAGTGCAGTCAGGCTCATGATGAGCTTAGAGAAGCTCCTTAAGGACAATGTTTTCACATTACTCAGGCTTCATTATCCCAAATCAATACTCGTTTAGCATCAGGTTACAGGCTCCTCCTCCAATCACAGCTCAGGAAAATATGAAGAGGACTGGTTTTAATGAGATGATCTTTCTGCAGACAAAGTGTTTCAGTCAAAGTCAGTTAGTTAAACGTGAATCCAGTTAAAAAAGTTCTGGATTAAAACGTCGTCTCGTCTCACCTTCAGCACCAAACTGTCAGTGAGAACACAGCCGGTCCTGCTGAAATCCAAATACCATCATTCATCTATGAAGACACTGGGCTGGCTGCTGGATGATCACCTCCACACTTTAAACAAGTCCATGAAAACCAGCTATAAAAGCTGGAACAAAGAAAGTGGAAACTGCAAAATCTGCATGTTTTGTAGCTGCTGTTCAATCAATCAAAAAGGAAATTGATCTTTTACTATTTTGATAATCGATTGTTGTTTTTCAGGTAAAAATGCCAAACACTTTAGTGGCTCCAGGTTCTCAGATGTCAGAGCTGAACATGTGACTTCACTTCCTGAGGAAGTTTCCTTCAGTATCAGTGAAACAGAACATCATGACACACTGCAGACAGGAAGTGATCGCAGCTGATCACAGCTGATCACATTCATTAATGACAGTTTGACTGCAGGGAAACCAAACTAACTCACTGAGTCCACGGCAACATCATACTTCCTGTTTACATCAACCAAAGCATTATGGGAACTGTAGTCCCAAAACTAAAAGTATGATTAATACATGATTATCTATGATGACGACGATGATGATCCTGTTTTCAAGTGTCATGATATGATCAGATTTTTTTTTACCTAAACAAATAATCAATGAAATAATCAACAGATTAATCACCAATGAAATTAACATTTGGTTGCAACCCTAAAACACTAATTGAGACCAGCTAGACATGCAGGTCAGCCACCTTAAATAGATGCTGGATAGTTCACTAATTAGGATCAACAGCAATTAATCAATGAAGCTCCTGACAGCAGCCGTCAGCCCGGCCTGCGACCTGGAGGCCGAGCCGGTTCCGCTCTTACCTGGAAATCTGGAAATCCCTGCCGCAGAGCCTCGTCTGAGAACTTGAGTCTGTTCAGCCGGAGGAACGACCACACGGCGACTCCATCATAAACACAGACGTCGGGTTTCAGCTGGGTTCAGGGACGGAGAGAAACGGCACTTTCACTCTTCCCCTGCTGAGAGGAAAGCCGTCCTGCAGTCACCACTCTGCTATTTATAGGAGCCACAAATCAGATTAGGCTGTGAGTTTAAACACCGGCCTCACCTGAGGAGCCTGCGTTCACCCAACAGCACACAGACACACTGAATGTGAATGTGAGAAAAGGATTAATAACCTGCTTCCAGGGCATCAAACTACCCACAATCCACCGCAGACCACTGCTTATTCTATGATCCACATGATCGGGACGGTAACAAGCAGTAAACAGTTTAGAGCTCCAGTCCTTTGGAAAAGCAGCAGATACTGTAACAATGACCCACCTGCTCAATCACGAGCCTAAAAGAAAAGGACAAATGAAGTGAAAGACCTGACGATCGGATCCAATAGATTTAAAAAGCTGTAATAACATTAGCAAACAAAATAAGTAAACGAGTCAGAACAAACACTTCCCTTAATCAGTAGTTTCCATTAGTCAGTCCAGCAAAGCCAGCAACTGCCCCACGACCCACGAGTCTTTCCTGGTATCAGAGTCAGTCAGTCCTGGATCTGATATGAGATGTGATCTGTTGAGTCAGCCAGAGGCTCCAGGGCCGGACTGATGGGCACAGAGCCCCGAAGCTTCGCCACAAAGTCCTGAGACAATATGCTTCAATTCACCTCCAACTCTACTTTAATTAACCTGATCATAAGTGATGGATTCAGAGAGAGATGGTCTGATCACTGGTCTGATCACTGGTCTGATCACTGATGGTCTGATCATTGATGGTCTGATCACTGGACTGATCATTGATCTGATCACTGGTCTGATCACTGATCTGATCACTGATGGTCTGATCACTGATGGTCTGATCACTGGTCTGATCACTGATTTCAGGTCCATACGTCCGTCTCATTCTCGTGGCACAAACATTCACCTGGACTCAAGGATGAACTGATTAGAATTTGGTGGTCAAAGGTCAAAGGTCAAGGTCAGTGTGACCTCACAGACACGTTTTTGACTAATTATGACACAGTTTAACACAAATGTCTCTAAGGATCAAATGACATTTTATATCCAAAAGGTTTAGACTGTAATGAAAGTAATAGTAATGAAAACAGGTTATTCTGAGGTTCATCACACTGCAGCTATAGATAGATCAATAGGCTGATAGATGATAGATTGATAGACTGATAGATAGACTGATAGATGATAGATATATAGATTGATAGATGATAGACTGATAGATT